CACCTTTCAACTCTTTTATGTTCATACTGGTACATTGCTTATATTATGCTATTAATAATAATGCAATAAGGCTATTAATACTTTTTAACTTAAAATCTGGACTAAAGCATTTGAAGGTGATGAAGTTGATTCCTTTGTAATAAGAATTCCATGCCTTTGAGAACTGATGGCTAGTGTGGATTAGGATAGTCTGGTCTTAGCCACATCTAAGTTTAACAATCTGCTCTGCTAGTGTCTTGATGACTTACCCAGGACTTCCCTGTAAAATTGTTCTTACCTTATGGGAACTGTTGTGAAGATGAAGTGATGTCATCAACCCACAAGGACGGATAGCATACACCGTAGCTTTTCTTGGCGAGAGGAAATGAGCGCTTACCAGAGATTACTGCTTGCTCTACTGTGGTTCTTTCCAGTCTTATGGGATATGTATTGTTTTAGTGTAGAGCTCAAGAAAATGGGCCAAATGTGGAAATGGTGGTATTCATTATAGACACTTCATTTTACAACTGAAAGTTGTTTAATGATAGCAACTAAATAATTTGAGGTATAATTTTGGTATTTTGTTATACAAAAACAGATGGAGGAAGAGAAAGTAGCCAAGAGACATTAGGTCATTTGTCTAGTCCTGGTGAAAGGTAATGAAGACCTAACAGTGAAGGAAGTTTTTTTTTGCGTGGGGAGGAGGGCAAACTTGGTTGGTATTGCAGTGGGGTAAAATCAACCGAATGCTGCTGTACCAGAAGTCAGTATTGGGGCCAAGGAAAGGGAAGGCTGGGGGACCTAACTCAGATGTACAAAGTTTTCAGTACTTAATGGCTTTCCAGGTTTAGTAGACATGTGGAGCATGGAACTAGATCAAGAATTGAGCTTCGGGTCTTTCAAGTAAAAGATACTAGCAGTGATCAGTGAATTGAACACAATATTGTTAAGAAAAGAAAGAAGCCAGCGAGTGCTGGCTGTAGTGGTATAAGCCTGCAATCCCAGCTACTTAGGAGACAGAAATAGGAGACTCACTATGTGAGGCCAGCCCCAGAAAAAAATGGTTAGAGATTCTATCTTCAAAGTCCCAAGTGAGGCTCATACCTGTAATTCTAGCTTTTCAGGAGGTAAAGATAGAAGGGTAGATATTTTGAGGCCAGTTTGGACAACATTGTGAGAGACCACATCTAAAAGCAAGGATACAGGTTGACCCATTGTAACAATGAGATATACAACACACTATGTTGAAAACAAACTTTACAACTTGTGTGTACAACAATGCTCAACAGGAAATTGAATATTGTTGCTCATGTAACTGTAACCCATTTTTACGATAAAACACATGTAACAGCATTTTTACAATTAAAAAAAAGTACCAAAAAAAAGCCAGAACTATGAGAAAAATCCCAGGGGCATGGCACAGATGGTATAGTGCTTGCTTAGCAAATTGTGAAGCTCTGAGTTCAGTCCTAAGTACCACCAAAAGGAAAAGGAGAAAACATAGCAACACCACTCTCCCCCCACCAAACAAAACAAGACAAAACAAAACAAACCCACAAAGCAACAACATTTAAAGGAGCAGTTGGTAGCATTTGAGGTAGCCAGCAAAGTGTTTAAAATTCACTACAGTGGTGAAGTAAAAGTAGGAAAAAAAAGTGAAGCAAAATACAAGGAATTTCAACAAATAGGAAATCTCTGGCAGTATCTGACTTTCTGTAGAAATCATGTATGTGAAACTTGAACTCTGAATAAATACCATCAGGGCTTAGTAATTAGGTTGGTTCTATTGTAAGTGAAAGCTTTTTCTTTGGTGAGTTGGGACAGCAGAATATACCATATTAAGTTGGGCATGGGGTGAGGACAGGCTGTATGTAGCAGATTCATTGAAGCAAGTAACTAATGAAATTACAAAAGAATTAGCTGAGTTTTGCCAAGAGATAGCACCAAGTTTTAAGGGTAAAACTAAGCTTTACCCCAGAGCTAAATGCACACATGGAGAACATTGCAGTAAACATAATCTCAGGATTGAATATAGTTAATCTTGAAGTATTTTCTCTCATTATTCATACCTAGTGTAATTGCTGACATATAGGTGGCGCTCAGCTTAGTAATTCTGCTGAGATGAGTAAATTCTTTCGGTTTTACTCCATTTTTTTCTCCCACTGCATATTTTGACTCTTGCTAAGGATGTGTGTACCTGGCCTTGGTTTTTGTTGTTGATTTGAGCCTAGAATTAAGTCCAGCAGTTTTGCAGTTAGACAGCAGTTATTTCGAGCATGTACTCACAGAGCACTTCCTGCTAGCCTGTACTTCCCTGTCTGCAAACTTTGCATTTTGTGAAGTCTTAAATATAATGTAAAGTAATGAGGTATTTAAACCTGAATTCTATTGCACTTTCTTTGTACGTCTGGGCTCTGCACCAGAAGAAACTGGTGTATATAGTGCACTGCCTCTCTCCAACGTGGTTCCTTTTCTGATTCTTGTAAGTACTACTATTTGGACATTTACACAGAAGCCTCCCCACTTTTCTGAATTGCCTATAAATTTTCTAGGTATAATAAGGACAAATATGGAAGCCTGAAACATTACAGTTTAGTTTTACTTTTCATAGATACATATATGATACTCGGTAAAGTATCTTATTACCCTCATTTAATTTATTTTTATTTTTTTATTAAAAAACCCAGATCATTTATTTTGTAGAGTTTCCCTACAATCTAAAGGGATGTAGTTTAATGTTGTGTCTCCTTCTATTGCTCAGAATTTAAATTGGTGTGTGTGTGTGTGTGTGTGTGTGTGTGTAAGGTATTAATGTTTGGGAGCCTAAAGATTAAAGAAAAAGAGGTAAAGGAGGCTGTTAACCATCCTCGCTCAGCTGGACACCAGCTGAAATCTGGAAATCGACTGGTAAATAAAGGTTGGTGGCTGGTTCTGGAGTCTAGACATCTCACCTGCAGGCTCTGGAATGTTATCCTTGTAACAAACTGTGGGAGAGGGAGCACTTTTCTTTGTTACCAGGAATTAAACTGACAAAAAGGATTAGCAAGAAAGGAACAGATTTAATTGCACCTGTCATAGTAGTTCTCAGGGGGACAAAAATTAACTCAAAAGAGTAGTTAGGATTGTAGTCTTGTATCTCATCGTTTTAAACATTAAAAAGTTAATTGACAACCAAGAAAACTTTGGCCCTCGATTTTTTTGCGATCTTGATATTCGTCATGTCATCCAAGGTCAAATAGTGTGTAGGTGCTTCAGAACAGATGTGGCTGCCACAGAGAACATCAGTTCAAAAGAAAATGTGATCACCGAAGGGCAATGGACAATACAGCACCTCATGCATTTTTCCAGCCTTTGTGTTGGTAACATCCAAAATCCTGTGTGCTAGGTCTTCTGAAATTAATTGTTAACCGCGTTTATCCTACTGTGCTATACCACAGTAAACCTATTCCTTCTTTCCAGCTGTGCTCCCGTGCCTGTTAGTGAACCTTGTTTCATCCTTTCCCCCACCCTCTGAGGCCTCATAACCATGATTCAGCATTCCACTTTCCTGAGATTAATGGTTTTTGTTTACACATATAAGCTCTGTAAATTCACGTTTAAGTTTCTGAGCCTGACATTTAGTTAACATCTGGGCTCATCTGTATAGGAGCTTAGTAGAGGAAAGGGAAGCTGATTTATCTATCTTTGAGTAAAATAGGAGATTAAATAGGAGACCTGCCAGCTGTGTGACAATGTTTGCTCAGGTGTGGTATGAAGAATTCTCTAGTGATAAGAGCTGATCTTCCCTGAGTGCTTCTGGGGGGGTTAGGACAACTGAATTCTAACAATTTTGGAAGATGCTCTTGTTTGTTCAGCTAGGAGATTTCAGGAACTGAAAGTTCCCTTTCTTTCAAAATGCAACATTGGTATTAGACTGTCATTAGATCTTCATAGCTGTGACAAACACGTTAGGGAAACAATTTACAGAAGGAAGGATTTGTTTTTGATTCATGTGTACAAAGGTTTCAGCCTGTGGTTAATGGCCCCCTTGTTTCTGGGCCATGGTCAGACAGAACATCATTGCAGGAGGGCAGAGAGCAGGGAAAATCCAGGTACAAGCCATTTCTTTATAGGGCAGAACACCAAATGGCCTACTTCCTCCAACTCAATTTTACCTCCTAACATTTCTGTCACCTCTCAGGGATGCCATTTCATGAATCTCATGGATTAACTCATTGGTCAGATCAGAGCCTTCATCATCATATTACTTCTGAATGACTGGATCTACCAGCTTTGGATCATGCCGTCAATACTGCAGTGTTTTTGCTTTCTTTTTTTTTGGCGGGGGGGGGGGGGAGGGACACTTCATATCAAACCATAACTATAAATTCATAATGAAATTTCAGATTCAGTTAAAATTCAAACCTGCAGGATACTTACATAATTCTGTCTTATATCTGTGTCTTTATCCAGCTCATACAGATTCTTAAGAAAAGTGTAAATGACAGTATCAATTCAATCCATAGTATGCACAAAACATTTGTTCAAAAACCAAGATTATGCTTACTGAGCGGAATTAAAACAGTCACTCCACGATCCACTAACCAGTGTGTGTTGCTTTTACAGTTGTTTCTCTTCCTACCCTGTCAGAGCATATGAAGACAATTATATTACTCCTACCTCATTCTCCTGTTCCCTTAATAGGATTGTAAGGAGATAAACATCACAGTTTCAGATTGTGATTATTTGTGATATTAATGCTATACTACTATTCGATATAAATGCTATATTATTATTATGCTATATTATATTATTATTTGTGATATTAACGTTATATCAGAGCTTTTCTTCAGTTGTGCCTAGAAAAGAGAATGACTAGTAACCAGGTCTATGTTGACAGGAAACATTCCTCAAACACATAAATGGGTTATACACTATACACTACCTGTTAGAATGTTGTGGAAAACTTTAATAGGTTTTATGGATTGAAAATACCCATAACTGTAACTTTCACATCTATTTTTTCCTTTTGGGAATAACAGAACATGTGAGTACTCCAGTAGAAAAAAATATCACTTTGGAAAAGGCTTCTAAAGTGGAACTCGCATGCCAGCTCACCACATCTGGGGATGTGAATGCAGTGAACGTGACTTGGAAGCAAGGTGATGAGCTACTTCCGAACAATTTTGTCATCAACACGACAGGAAACACCGTGTACACCCAATACACGTAAGTGAACAAGAGCTTCACTTGCTAGCCTCAATTTTTACAGCTTGAACATTCTTTTTCTTAAAAGCACTTGAATGTTATACTGATTTTAATTTGCCTGTTGACAGAATTGTTTCTAAGCTTTGATTAGTGGCTTCATCTTCATTTTCATTCAGAAGTGTTGTGAAAACAAAATGTATTAATAAGTTGAACTGTCTTTAGGTTCACCATCATTAACAGCAAGCAAATGGGAGATTATTCTTGCTTCTTTGGAGAGGAAAAGGAACGAAGAGGGACATTTAAAATCAAAGGTCAGTATTAATAACAAGGAATAATAACTTCATCATTATGTTCTTAGATCTCTAAACCCTTCAGGTTTTGAATTATGATTACCTCAGTGTGCATAATGCAGCTGAAGTGACGTGTGCTTTCCCAAGAATTCCAAGAGGTGAACTGGAAAGTGGTTTTGCAGCCACCCTTCCCACTTCCAGCCTCCCATCAACGTCTTTATTTTATTTACAAGTTTAGCCCTCTAAGTTTAGAGCTTTTAAAACATGTTCTAGATTTCTGTTAGTGTGTTCTTCCACTACTAACTTAAGGCTTGGCATTCTGTTTTTGTAGCTCTAGGACTTGAGATTTTAGAGACCCATACAATTTTAAAGTAATATAGAGATGTGCTAAGGTTGTCTATATTTTGTATTGTCAGATGTCATCATTAAAAAAATAATTTAGCCATTCCTAAAAGTACAGCCTGGCTGTTGGTATCAGAGATCTGATCTGAGGAGTTTGTCGCTGGGTGATTTCATTGTCATGAGAGTATCATCAAGTGTACATCAATGTTCTGGATACTGCCTTACTGCAGGCATTTGTGACACAATGGTATTTGTTTATCTAAACATAGAAAATATGACGGTGCCCTTCAGAAGGTCACTTCCCGTGAGTGGGACTTGCAAGCCTGCAGTCCACTGATTGGCTGAGTCAGCAAGGGAAAGGTGGGTAAGCAGAGGCCAGGTGCAGCACAACACTGCAGACTTTATAAAGTCTGCATGCTTTGGCTCTACTAAATCTACAAATAGCATTTTTCTTTACTTTTTAGTTTATTTTTTGAAATCAGTTATTGTTATTATTGCCATCTTTTAACAGTTGTAGAAAGGGGTTTCAATCTGACTTTGCCAAATTATGAGTATAATGCATTTTGATTAATGGCACCCTTTCCAGTATTCTCTCTCCTGCCAAATACTATTTTTTAAAAAATACTTTTTATTGTAAAGATACTGTGCAGAGGGGTTTTAACTACATGAGTAAGGTAATGAGTATATTTCCTATAAGAGCATTGTTACCCTCTCCTTTGTTTTTCTCCTACTATCCTTTCCCTCCCCACCTCCCCAACTCCTCCCTCCCTACCCACCCAAGTTGTAAAGTTCATTTTCAACATAGTGTCTTATATGTCTCATTGTTACAATGGGTCAACCTGTATCCTTGTTTCAGTGTTTTGTTATTTCCCTTCCCTTCTCCAAAATAGAAATGTATATATATGATACAAGGTACCTGAATCAAATAGAGTGACAACAGGGGTTATACCATGGGGGGAAGAACAGAAACAAAAAGATCACATAGTGCATTAAAAACAACAGTGACAAAGAAAAATATGTCTTGTGTCCCTATCTTGGGGTGCCAATACTATTGTTTTTTAATTATCAGGTTTTTGTAGCTTAATTAATAAATTAGTTTTTAAGAAAATTATTCCTTCAAACCACATTTTACCCACTATTCAAAAAATGTTTTATATGTGTGCTTATTCTTTAAGATTTTGTATTTCGCTTTCTTTAAATTTTGTTATACATTTTTATTTTCATTAAAAACAAAGAGAGAGAGATTAGCCTAGGTCTACACAGAGTCAAGCTCATTGATATGATTGTCTCTATTTCTGAGCCTTCACCTACTGCATGGACTTCAAAGATAAAATCATCTCTTCTGCTTTTCCTAATCTTAATTCTGTAGTGCAGGAAGAGATACCGCATTTATTTCCCATCTCTTTCCTTATTCCTTTCCTTTTTTTTTCTTTTATCCAGTTTCAGTATGTAAACACTGATTTTTTAAAATTCATTTTTGTTGTGAAGATGCTGTATAGAAGTGTTACAGTTATATAACCGCATTCCTTTATTTCTCTTCTTTTCTTACCCTGCTGTCCTTCTCTTTCCTCTTGTACCTTTCTATCTCCTTCCCCTCATTCCCTACCTCCCTTCCCTTTTTTCCTCTGTCTCTTTCTAATAAACAGAAAGAACATGGAACACATTCACACAAAAATCCAATAAATATAAACATATTTCTAAGTGGTGCTACAGTTGAACATGGGGGGAAAGCATATTTCATCCTCTGTTTTTAATTGACTCCCCAAATTTTATTTAGCCATAGATTTTAATAGTCAATTCTTTTTTCTAGAGTCCATTGTTTTCTAGAAATATGTACTAGTTATTCTGGTCAAAGTTTAAGTGCTGATGTATATTTTTAGTAGCTACCATACATTACTTACAATTACATACACTGCTTAAATTACTTAAAATCTTCCTTTCAATGTGAAGAATATGAGAAACATTTTCCTTGCTACTGTGTCTGTCAGCTTCATGCCAGGTATTATTCAGGAAGGTCATAGAATTCCTGAACTGCGGTGAGATAACGTAAGCTGGTCTTAGGTGTTATCAGGAACATAAGCCCAAAGTGGAGGTTTTAAATCAGATCTTTGAGGAATGCAGAAAAAACCCCACTAAATATTTACTTTCTTTAATTTGTTGGAAGCAGTTTAGTTCAAATCATTTACCACTTTACCCTGATCTAATTTTTAACTATATATTGCATTCTGAAGATATTTATAAAATTAGTAAATTGAGTCCTTCGAGATCTTCCTTAAAAATTAAAAAAAGTATTTTTGTATAAATCATCTAAATTGGGTATTGCTTAGAAAAATAATTTCATTGAGTTAAAGGCACCTTAATAACAATTTATATTATAAGTTACTATTTTATTAGGTTTGGAAGGACCTAATAAAATAGTCATTTAAAAATATAAATCTCCTATTGTATTCATTCTGCACATGATTTGCTTTGTGGTTTTTCCTAGCAAGGATAATTTCTAAGTGATGGTACAGTTGAATATGGGTGGAAGGCATTTTTCATTCTCTGCTTTTAATTAAGACCCTCCCCAATTTTATTTAGCCATAGATTGTTAGAGTCAATTATAGATAGCGCATGAATTTGAGCCTTGGGACACTTGGTTCTCAGAGTCCCTTCTTCTTTCTTCATGAGAGTTGTTGATTTGTTACTAGAAGAATGCAAAAGGGTGTTAGCACTATTGATTAGTACTATGTAAAACAAAAGCAAACAATCCTGTTGACTTTGCTTGATGCCTGTTGATGCCAGGAGAGGAGAGATGGCAGTAATACACTCTGTCCATGTAATCCTGAAATATAAGGGGCTAGGATCTGGAGGATTGCTGTGCAAACCTAGACTTGGCTGAAAGTTTGCTAGACCCCTATCTCTAGAATTACCAATAAAGAAACAAGTCTGATGGCATGGCTCAAGTGGTAGAGTATGAGCTCAGCCAGTTTGTGGCCCTGATTTCAAGCTCTAGTGTTGCCTACTCCCACCTCCCTCCCCCAAAAAAGTGCTTGCTGGAAACTTGTAGCTGCTAATGTGTTGATTGAAACAAAATCTTGATGTGATTTCATCCAAGAAAGACGAGAGATGAATGTTTCATGTGTTGAATATTCTGAATTGCTGAAAACTTTCATGCTGTTCATCAGTGTTAAACATTTTTGTAGAAACTGCAAAATTTTAATTGGTATAAAAAACAAAACCAGTTAGAATTCATGGTAAGATCTTGATTAGACTAAATGCTATGAGATTTGTTATATCTCAGCCATCTGCCCTCCTCAGAAATTATCCAAGAAGGACAAGTATGGAACAGTAGCCTTAAATCCTGGGGTTAAAGTCCAGATAAGATGTCATTGGCCATATGGAAACATCTTTTCCTGATGTGCTGATATCTAAACGTCTTTAGCCAAACATAACGTTTAGGCCAACTGGCTTATTTCATGAATATGCAAATACCTATCTCTAGTCTTACAATTCTGTTGCTTCAAGTTTAAACCCATCTTGCCAGCCTGCATCAGCGGAGGGAATCAGCCTGAATCATAACCAGAATCTTGAAACTTATTCTTGCCCCAAAATTCTCCTGTGACCTTCTTTATCAAAACTTTCTAGAGATCAATGGTGTAGTGTGACTACTGTCATAATGTCCTTAGATGAGTAAATATACACAAATATAGGTAGTGCTCCCAAACTAACTGTGGCTTCCAGAACAGTTTAAACAAATTAGTGTTTCATGAAGATAGTGCATACTATACACAACAGAACAGATGAGTGGGTAAAGGATAGGAGGTAATCCAGGAAAGAGAAAAGATGAACAGAAAACAGAATTTCCATGTCATCACTAAGGCATTGTCATTTATCTGCAGTGTACAGCCTGATCTTAAGACTCTTTGGGATGGTTTCATTGTGAAATCTTGTGTCCCTCACCGGTATCATTGAATACCCAGCATTTTTGTGAAAGCCCTGTGTAGATGTTGGCTCTGTGTCTCAGGCATTTGTCTCAGAAGCTTACTAAAACACAGTATTTTTCATTTTTGGTTCTTATCCTGTGGACAAATATCAATATTTTGGTCATATTTCAACACAAATGTTCTTGTTTGCGTGAAAAAGCATGACATAATCTCCGGAAAGAAGCTCACTTGCGTTGAGCAGTAGAATATCTAGAGGCTAAACAACTGAGAAAGCAAGCTGAATTAGTGGCCTTCACTCGTGCCCAACACAGCCAGTCTCAGACTCTTCCTTTGAGAGCAGTGTTTGTGTTAAGGATGAGCCCAAGCCATTGTTCCACAGTGTTGTGGATATGTTTTGTCCCTAACCATAGGAGGCTCACAGGTGTGGCCTTTGCTCTTTTGCTGGTGGGGAGGAAACTAGTGACTTCTGAAAATCCCTAGGTTAGTTTAATTTTAATCCCTGCTCACCTGCGCCTCTCTGGTTAAACTTTCTTTGAAAGTAGGGCTGATCTCATTCTTTCTCTAAAATGGAACTTTAACTCTCAAATGCTTCTATGTTCTCATATTTCTCTTAAGTAACAGAAAAACTCTCTAGGTTTTGGATATTTTCAAAAGAATTATAGTTAAGACGTGGTACTGATCTGATAGAGTGGTACTGCTTTGCTATGATAATAATTTAGCTTACCACTGTTTCACAAACAAAAATCTTAGAAAAAGAAATACACAGCAAAGGGGGGAAAAAAACCACGATAATAGGCTTGTTAGGAACACAAGTTTTGCCAAAGAAGTCCAGGAACATTTCACTGCATGAGCACCTAGCAGCTTTCCTGCAGCTATATATATCACTTACTTTATTTTATTCTTTTTAAATTTTACTTTAAATTGTATGAAAGAGTTACCCCTCACCAGATCTTAACCATAAACCCAAATAGACTAGCATATTTCTCCACTACCCAAACCCAATTTGGTGCCTACTATTCTAGCGAAAGAATATTTATTCACCTGAACCAGAAAGAGAAACAAATGAGCATGGGCTGAATTATTTATGCCTCCAAATTCCTAGTTCTAAAACAATAGGGCCCTAGATGACCAGTTCAGGACAGCCTTCCTCTGACGGGCTGGGTTAGAAAGCAGGAGTGTTGAATTAGGGAATTTATAAAGCAGGAAGTATAGTTCACAGACAGTTGCTTGGTCTTCAAAAGCCACGACCTTCAGTACCTAGTGAAGAAATTGTCCTGCCATTAGGAAAAAAAAACCAGAATAATAAAATGTTCTGTGACTCAGCTTGATTGAGCATTTAACATTTTGATACTTAGTCATTTTCTTCTCAAGAACTTAAAATATACTTGTTACGTTCATATCACGACAGATGGATGACTTAGTTTCTTGGATCCAAGAGTTGTTTTCCATTTTCTTACACTGGTTCTTTTTCTCCATTTCAGGGTTTATAAATGAGCTGAGAAGGGGTAGCTGCAAACTGAGGAAATGGAACCAAAGAAGGGTAGCAAAGAGTAGCTTGATATAACAGGACAGAACATACATGTGACACACCTCCTCTTTTATTTTTATTTATTTAATGTTATTTGTTTATTGGTAAATAGTGGGGAGAGAAACAAATACAGAGAGAGAGTTGCATTGGTGTATAATCCTATCAAAATTTAATTACCATGCACCACATAAGTTATTATTTTATCTTTTACAACTGAACTGCAGTAGGTTAGTTAGGGCTTAGCCCGTGTTTTCAAAGCTAGTGACATTAAGGCTTATCTTTTGACACAATTATATCAATCTGTCTGCTTCCTATACAAATCACTGACCTTTGAAATTAACCCCAGATTCAGGGTTCATCAGCTTCAAGGTGGCCAGTAGAAAATGTGAGTTAGCATCTCCCCAGGAGTGCTGAGCAGACCTGGCCAGCCAGCTCAGTCCACTAGTTTCTTCTGCCTGGGATGACAGCCCTCAGTCATGTCTGCAGAGGTATCCCAAGAGCTCCTCTGGAGCTGTTTGCAGAGCCTTATTTAGGGTCACTACAAATTCGGATCAGTAGTCCACATCTTGGGTAATTGTAAAATTGTAGACTGTTGAAGTTAATCCAAATGCATTCTCTTAGTTCTAGAATATAGGAACTACTTACTGACTTACAGATTGTTCTATTATGAGTCTCTTAATGATTGAAACATCCTCTCATGAACATCACTATGGCCAGTGCCTCATTCAGCCCTGCTGGTGAGTGATCATGATGCAGAGGGAGGTGTGTGTACTGGTAGCCAGTGGACTCATCTCTGTTAAACACTGAAGAATGATAGAAGACTTCCCTGCTTCAGCATTGTAATGTTAGTCTCCTGGGGACAAAACCCCATAAAACCCTGTTCTGAACTTTTGTCTGGTGACTATATAAGTTATAATATTTTTCATGGTTAATATCAATGATTTTCCTTTTTTTAAGTCTTCATAATTCATATATTTAGAAAATGCCAGATTATCTTGACTAGTAGAAATTCAGGAGCACTTGGGAAATACAGCTAATCTAAACACCTAATTTCATTAACTAAAACTGGTCTTTCCATTCCCTACCCTGTCCCTCTCAAGTATAAGAAGATCAAAAGCAGAGTAACATGTATAAAAGCATTTGAAAATCATAAACTTTTCAGTATTTTACTGTAAATTTTACAGTAGTAAAATTTTTATATTTGTAATTTTATCCATTCTTCCTGTAGTTGGTAAACTAAACAAACAGAAAGTGAAAAAGTACCCATAAAGGTGAAAACATGTTAAAATTAATAAAAGCAAAAAAAAAGAGCAACAAAGTATTTTTGTTGTTGGTCATGGCGACTGAACTCTGGGCCTGGGCGCTGTCCCTCGGCTCTTCAGCTCAAGGGTAGCACTCTACCACTTGAGCCACATCACAGCTTCCAGCTTTTTCTGTTGATGTGGTGTTGAGGAATCAAACCCAGGGCCTCATGCATGCAAGGCAAGCACTCTACCACTAAGCCAACTTCCCAGCCCCAGTATTCTTGATCAGCCCATGTCTTCACTTTAAGTATCCATTTTGATAATATATCTCTTGAGATTAACTGAAAGTAGACCATTTATGGCACTTTTATATTGTTGTTGCTGTGTTTATTATTATTATTTTACATTAGTACACAGCAGGAGAGTTCACTGTTAATTTCCACACATGCTTACAATGCATTCCAATCAATAGTGACCCCTCTATCACAGTCTCTTTCTACTTCCTTCCCCAAACAATTCTCTCATTTTTTTTATTCTATTGTATATGTTACTATGCTTTAATTTCTTTACCATATTGTTCACCTGTAAAACTTAATGTTTCTAAATTCAGTTCAAATTCTAAATTCAATTCAGAGTTCAATTGTTTTGACATTCCTTTATGAAGAAGTTTTTCAAAATTTATTCTGCATTTTTACAAGACTACAAAGAGATGTTTTTAAATTTTATTTTCTTGCTTACACTTCTTTTGTTTTTCCTCTTAATTTTCTTTTGTTCTCTACCCCTGTAATACTTACATCAACTAAAGTCTTTCTCACCTGGAACTCTTATCTTAAAAGTATATTCTAATTTAATTTAATTTAAAATTTATCTTAAGGGTAAAATTTTAAAAATTGCTTTGCAGTAATATTAGTAGGTAAGAAAAATGGATTGTTAAACACAGAAGTTGTTATCCAAAATATGCTTATTGTAATACTTGAAGATGCTTCCAGCTGAAGCATAGAAGACTTTCCTTCCAGTCAGTTCTGCCACCAGAGACAGTTATATTGGAGCTTGCTATACTCTTCACTATGGCTCTGATTACTCTCTCCTCTAGTGGCTTTCTTTTTTATATAACTAAAATGACCTAAAGAAATCCATATGTAACAAAGAAATGAAAGAGAAGATATCTTCAAGATTAGTAGTTTCATTTTTCTGTTTTGCTAATATATTTCTATAAATTTTTCTAGTCCCTCAACTTCATGGAAAAAACAAGCCACTGATCACTTACGTTGGAGATTCCACTATCTTGATGTGTAAATGTGAGGGTTGTCATCCTTTAAATTGGACCTGGTACAGAATGAACGAGAGTGCACAGGTAAGGTGGTATTTCTAGGGTTTAGAGAAAACAAAATAACAAGATTATGACACATTCAGAAATTTTAGGATGACTTATACTTCTGTTATTTTGATAGTTAATGTGTCATAAAGAAAAACATAGTGACAAATGATGTTTTACATCTCAAGAAACTTCTAATGTTTCATTTGGGGGGGTAAGGGGTAAATACTTTATTTAAATTCTTTCCAAGAAAGCTAGAGTTGATTTTTAGTTGACTAGTTTGGAAAGAATATCACCATTAAAATGTTTTCTTTCTAGTCCATTCATGAAAGTAATGAGGGAAACAATCAAACTAAAGAAAGCCTGGCTTTCTTCCTGCTTCTTCCTCCTGAGATCTGTGACAGGATATAATAATATAATGCATCATTTGAAAAACATAATAAAAATTTAGTCACTTGTACTAGGTCTAATGTTTGTTCAGTAAGTGCCTAGTGAGTACATTTCCTCTAGACAATGTCTTCCATGTCATTGACTTTTTATGGCTTTCCAAATGTTAGAAGGAACCCAAATATTATACTTTGTTTCTTATTTATCTAAGAGAAATGGCATCCCAAAGAGCCCATGTGAAGAAAATAAAGAAAATTCAGTAAATCATGTTTGACTTTCTCTCTTCTCCACAATAGCCTCCAGGCTGGACAATTTAGAGCATTGTTTTTTATGGGACAACTTTCTCTTGCTCTGATGCTAAGAAACATTGAGATTGATGTCCCACTAAGGGCGAGCTGTAATTCTAGAAGGAATGTATGAAACAGAACAGATCCTAAACGATGACATTTTAAATCATTTCAGCATGAAATTCATGCCATCCTAGATGGTTCAAGGTCAGCAGAGGAAAGAGATAGAGGATGATTTTGTGGTAATGCAGATTTACTTTCACAAGGAAATAGCTGCCTATCATATAGGTGTAGACATAAATTATTATTCATTCTACTTGTGCCTTACTAATAATTACAAAAGGAGTATGTAATTTTTTAAATATACATCCCTAGGTTATTCAATCATATGTGATACCAGACAAACAGCAGCTTAAATCAGTTATAGTCAAGTTTTAGAATATGTCACTTTACCTATGCCTGTGCTTTTTGTGTTTGCTACACAAATCATTACGGTCTTTTTAATTTAGCCATCTACTCTGGTTATATTAAGTTGGGAAGATATACAGGGAAGAAGAGGGTACAGGTTTGAACTTTAAGTCGTGTTTTGCAAAATGTAACCACGCAGTTGCACCCCACACAGCTGAGTCCTTAAGACGCAGTAGTAACCACGCAGTTGCACCCCACACAGCTGAGTCCTTACTCAAGACGCAGTAGTATGATTTATCTGCTGTGAGAGAGGGGGCACTCCCTTGTCACAAGCTTCCCAGGCAGTGCTGCATCCGGCAATAATAAACTCACAGAATTCTTAGATCACCTCTAAGAATATATGTATACCAATGAGTATTGAACTACACAGTTGAGTTGAGAGAGCAAAAAAGGCATCAGATGGCCTGAGAATAAAATTTAATTTAAATAGAGTAAGTAGAATGGCATCCAGATAGCTTAGTGTAGATCTTGTTAGCCTGGTGAAGAAACCCAGTAAATTTTAAGAAGCCAGCTTGATAGCCAATGAACCAACCTGTGTGCAAGAGAGAGAGAGAGAGACACAGACAGACAGACAGACAGACAGACGAGACACAGACAGACACACAGACAGACAAAATTGGAAGGGGAAGAATCGGTACATGAAAAGGTTACAGCTTCATGTCTAGCATGAGAAATTCTAGCCACGTTTCTTGGAAGGAATGAAGAGGAAAGAGCAGTGCCTTTCCCCTGGGTGAGCAGCTTGTGTAGAGCTGCTCAGGTGTGGAAATGTTGGTCCCCCATGGCTGGGATGTTTTTCAGTCTTGAATTCTCATCTACTCTCTCTCTCTGTGATGACCTGCATGTACACTTATAGTTTCAAACATTCATGCTTAAAGACTGACAGCCCAGTGTGCTTTTTCCTTTGTTGCTCTCTTGATAAGATTAAGGTTTCTTTTTTCTTTTTTCTAGGTGAGGAGTAGGTTTGTTCATCGTTCTGGCTGGCATCAGGCCATCTTGGCCCTCCACGTGGTGGGGAAAGGCCTGGGAAAGAGAGCTGAAAAAGAGAGAGAGCTGGGAAAGAGTGAGCTAGGAAAGAGAAGAGAGCTGGGAAAGAGAAAGAAAGAGCTGAGAAAGAGCTAGAAAAGAGCAGAGAGAGCAAGATTAAGGTTTCTTATGTATAACTTCTCATACAACTCAATGTGCTTTTCCAGTAAGTAGGGTTGTTTTTTCTTTTGTGGAATTTCCTTAGAACTTTGCTTAAAATTAGATCACATGAGAAACTAGTTGGTTTTTTTTGAAATAGAATATAAACATTGTACTGTCTCCTTGTGCTAGGTTCCTATTGATACACACCTGGATGATAAATACGTCATCAATGGAACGTACGCCAACGAAACGAAGCTGAGGATAAAGCAGCTTCTAGAGGATGACAAGGGCCTCTATTCCTGCCATGCAGTATTCCAGCTGGGTGAGAGCGAAGACCACGTAGAGCTGGTCGTGCTGAGCTTCCTGGTTCCACTCAAACCATTTATTGCCATCGTTGCTGAAGTGTTCATTTTAGTGACCATCATCCTTCTTTGTGAAGTATACACAAAGAAAAAGAAGCAGGGCCCAGGTAGGATTGCCTTTTCCTAGATAATGTTGCCTAGATAATGTTATGACTTAATCTGATGTAGTGCCAGTAGAGTTTTTGGGAAAATCCTTTTTATTTTCTTAGTATTTGAATCAATCACAGTCATGGTAATAAGCTATGAGCCTTTACTGATGGTTTTATTATTTCCACTTCTGAAAAAAATAGCACTAAAATTTATTTGGTTTTCTTTTGATGCCATTGGCACCAACTAGGGGATATGTGTGTTAATACCTGGGGTATTAGTTAAAATCTGTGATTGATTACTATTTATAAGATACAAAGACAATTTCATTTAGATAATTCTGTGTCCCTCCCTCCCCCACCTCCCTCCAGGGGTATTGGTATTAGAGTTTAAATTTAGGACCTCTAGTAAGTGCTCTACTACTTGCGCCATGCCTCTAGGAGTGTAGCTTTAGGTTATGTGTGGGCTAGCCTTGAATTACAGACTTGCCCCATCATGCTTGCCTTGATTGCTGAGATTAGAATCTCATGAACTTTTTTTGCCCAGGCTGGCCTCAAGCGATTTCCATTTCCCAAGTAGCTAACTAAGACTACAGCCTAAGCCACCTCAACCAGTGTGGATTTGTAAATTTGTAGCGCCTTAAAGGGCAGATTATTCATTCAATTATATTTTTAAAAGTCCTAGGTGCTAAGTCAACGGGAACGCAGGTAAAGTCTCACTGCTATGAAGGAGTTGAAGTATCTCTGGTTACCTGTCTTCTTTTCCCTTCCAATAGGAAGTGTATTTTGTCACTTAGGAGTCAGATTCAAAAATTGAACGTGTATGTCCTATAAACAAGAATCAGCCATTCTTAATTGTCTACTTCTTTTGTTATACAGACGATGGGAAAGAATTTGAACAGATTGAACAGTTGTAAGTATTATTTCCTTTTACAGACTAATTTTCTTTTGAGAAAACCACAAATGAGTAGGGAAATGTGATGTTTATACTTACAGTAAAAGCACAGTCATGTATAGTATACTGTATACCTGCCTTGCTGTGTGGCCTCGACCTTTGGGAACACACCCGCCTGTGCTGGCCCTCTTATTACCACTGTTCTTGCTTCTTTTGCCTCAGTTTTCTCTTCTGCAAATGGTTTCATGGTAATACTTATGATATCCATCTGCTGTGTTATTATATACTAATATATATGTCATAGATATCCATATATATATATATATATATATATATATGCATGCTTAGTACAGACTTCGATACAAAGAAAACATTCAGCCTGTATAAGGAGGTATTATTTATCGATTCTCAACTTGGCTGTAATCACTAAAGAGGCTCTTGAAATGACAGTGACTCAGACCTGGCTGGGTCCCCCAGGTTATATGCTCTGAGGTGGGACCTGGGCATCTGTTTCTTGTAAACATCGACCAATGGTTCTGAACAACTGGCTGGAGTTCTCACACACACTGCAGATGTGGGAATAATAAGAAGGCTGGGAGGAGAATCCCCAGGAAGCAGTTTGTTTTGGGATATGTTGGGAATGTCTCTTTCCCCAAGCTGGAAAACAGAGGCAACTCAGAAGGCAATAAATGTCTGTGTAGCAGCCTGTGGCTGTGAGCTAAGGCAGCAGAGGGGAACCTGGGAAGTGTGGACTGGCCAAATATCTCTAGCATAACATAGTCCTGGACGTCCCAGGACACTCACCCCAGCACCTTACGGTTATGAATCCATAGCTGTGTTTAGTAACCAGATTGAGCCAAGTAGCTGTCCTTCAGATAGTCAGAGGCATGGTTCAAATGGGTGCTTTGACTCAGTTTATAACAAAATAATTAGTTCAGGGTTTTCATAAAACCAGATCAGTGAAAACATGTTGTTGGAGACTCTTGTGGGTGGAAGAGCATGTGGACGATCTGAACTCTTTCTGGAAAAATTGGATATTTGACCTGCACTTGGAATCTTTTTGTTTTCTGATTGGCACAGGCTGGGTTTCATTCTTATTCTTTGCCATGGGAAGTGTGGTAGCCATTCATGTACTTGCCCTGGTTCTGCTCCCCAGCACCTCCCACGTCTCTGACCTCTTCGAGTCATGGCACACGCTGAAAGGAAGCTGCCAGGACTGTAAAATGGGCCCTGAGATTCATATAATTTAATGTTCATTTATGCACCTGCCCTGTTCACTGTTGTTTTTTTTTCTTTTCTAGGCCTAGTGTCAAAATGACTCAATCTCTGTTACAACGAATGAACTTTACTTTTTTCGTTCTACATTGATTCCTAATATATACAGAACATAATCTACATCATGTTCTTCATCATGTTCTTCATGTTCTTCATCATGTTCTATCACACCACAGCAACCACTTGGAAGTGCCTCCTGTCATGTTCTTTCAGTGTCTTTCACTTAGTAGAGAGTAATAAGTTCATTGTAGCAGCCCTCTGCAGTAATCCTTTGAGAAATTATCATTATTTTTTGGCAAACATTTTTACATGTCGCACATACACTCTATTTTGCATATAATGTTTGTCAGTAGATACTCATGGTCCAGAGGGATTTCTTAGTTTCAAAAAACAGTAAAAACAATAAAATGCAGCATAACAAAGCAAACCAACACCTTCAAGTAATTCAGTGGATGTTTAATCCACACCCTCCAATTCTGACATTATTGGTTGCTTGGTTAGATTTATTATCTGCTACTGGTAGCTTTATGAGTGCAGCCTGCTGCTAAGATATTCAAAGACATTGATTATGTAGAATCATTACCTAGTCTTGTCAGTTCTATCATTTGGAAGCGTGTTCTCATGCACACTGGGGAAAGAAACATATTTTACCATTAACTTCAAATGATCACCACCACTGTATGACACTTGTCTTTCGGAATCTGGCTGAGTTCCTGATTGGCTGTTCTCTTGTATGTTTTGAAACAAGGCAGAGTTACTATCTTATGCCCAGTCCCCTACTCCTGCTCAGGGAGAAACAGCTCTCTTCCTTGGTACAAGACCAATAAGTCTTTGTCATTGTTAGCTGTGGCAACAGTCCTCCAAACAATCCAAAAATGTAAAATGAAATAAACATTTTGACTTAGGAGGAAGTAGTTCTGGTTGTGTTGCAATTTGACATTTATCCTAATAGCAGTGGTACAGATGGTATACTGACTTAATTTATGCATTGTGGCCATATGGTGATTTTCTTTTGTGTTTTCCTCACAGGAAATCAGATGATAGCAATGGTATAGAAAATAAAGCCCCCAGGCTCAGAAAAACTGTAAGTTACTTTCAAATGTAGTCCAAATGAAGGATCTGAACTATATCAAAGATCCAGTATACAATGGCTTAAGATACATCGTATTCATAAACTGCTTTGTTAAATGACAACTCCTTTGCATAACCACCTAAAGGAAAGAAAGAAGGAAAAAAAGAGAAAAGGCAAGCAAGCAAGCTAGTCTTGGTATGGAGCCCACACCAGCCTTGATTTTATAATCCTCTTGCCTCAGCTTTCCAAGTGCTGAGATTATAAGTGTTCATTTCCACACCTGGCTTGGCTACCTATGAGTCACTACTTAAAAAGAAAAGTTTCACAAAAAAGTCATTGGCTCCATGCTTTAAATATACTTGTTCATACTATTATGGAAGAAAATACATAGTGATACAAAAATCAATTGCATTCCTTTCCACCAGTGAATAGGTAGCAACCCATATAAATCAACCAGTGACTTCTTTCCCTTTCCTCCTCCTCTCCATTGTCCTTTGCTTTTACTTTCCTTTCTTCTTTCTCCCCACTCCTTTGCCCCTTTCCTTCTCCCCTCTGTTCTTTCTGCTCACCTTCATCTTTCTTCCTTGGCTTTCCTTCCCTTCATCCCCTCCCCTCCTCTTCCTTTCCTTTTTGCTTGTCCACCCATTTTGCTTGTCCATATTTTGCAGGGGAGGGGTCTTGCTATGTAGACAAGGCTATCCTTGAATTCAGATCTTTCTGCCCTGCTCTTCTGAGTGCTGGGATTTTAGGCTTGTATCACTATTGTACTATATGTGTGTTTTTTTTTTCTTTAATCACCTTGGCTAGTTTTTCTTTTGTAATTTTTCATGTAGCTTTTTATCCCTATGTTGTTCTGTTATTTTATTCCCACAATGTGTATATATATAAATATTCCCATATTATTATATGTTATATATTATATATTTTGTTCCCATATTATATTATACATACATATTATTATATACTGTTATATATCTATTACAATTATTATTACTTGGTGCTATGAAATACTTTTTAATGACTGATTTTCTTTAATGATCTACCTTTTCTTAGTTCATCAGTGTTAAAGCTATTACAGTAGGCAGTAGATTGTAACCAGCATTTTCTAGCACTGTTTGCTTGGCTAATGTGATAGTTGTTTTTTTCTTTAAAAAAGTAAGTTGTATTTTATAAAATAATGTGGAAATTGATCATGTTTAATTATATGCTATAACTCAGGAATCTGTGGACCAATGAATGGAAAAGATCTGATCAGCTATCGGGAAGATGTACCAAGTTTGTATCTCAGCTTTGTATCTTTATCTTTGTTTTGAAGAGCAGCAGTTTTTATTTCTGCTTTTTGACGGTGAAAAGCTCATCCCAAATGCATCACAGAAGCTTCATAAACAACATGTGCTGGCTCAAATCGGGAGATACAGTTTCTTTTTGTAATTGGTTTTACATTAAAGCAAGGTATTTGTCTCCAGTGTGTTGATGCTCTTTGGTCCTGAACACATGTCTTCACAGGGAAATGGATGTTTTGTGCTTTTGTTAATGGTGGTTACCCCACTGGAAGACAGGTTTTCATTCTGTAAATAAGGGGGATGACAAGGGAATAAAACCTGTGCTTTCCCAGAGCATTATCACTACAAAAGCAAATCACTACCTGTTTATTCTACACTTTTCCACTGCTTTTCTCACCAAGCCAAAGTGCTTCTTAGAGTTGAAGTAGAGCAATGATGTGTCGTGTGTGTGTGTGTGTGTGTGTGTGTGTGTGTGTGTGTGTGCGTGTGTGTAGGTGTGTGAGTTTGCAAAGTCCCAACATCCATTGGATGTTGATGATTGAGGGCAATCTTCGTAGTTAGAATGCAGCACTGCTATCTGGAGTGCTTTAATGGTCATGGTTTCCTGGTATATTTGATTGTATACCTAGTTTTGGGGAATCTGTGGCCAGTTAAATGGACTATATAAAAATGCGTTGTTAGTGCTTTTTAATAATAATTTCTGTTTTCTGAATTCTAGAAATACCAAAGTATGTCTTTTATTTTGTTAAAAATGCCTTACATCTATCTTCACAAATGGGATGATTAGTTTCTATTGCATATATATTGGAAATGTTGTATTAACTGGCTATTACCAAATCAAATAAACTCTGAATGGACAAGCAAAGTTGTCAGTTGTTTTAAATGAAATATTAAAATTGTGTGTCAGGAGACTAGATTGGGCTTTTGTGGTTCTGGGATCTCAGGTATGCACAGAAGACAATCTCAATGATCTGAGAACAAATACATCATAGAAATTTACACCTGTGTTATGGCTATCAATAGCACAATCTTATAATGTTTTCCAATATTACTAGGAGGAATGATACACAGGAAATGATTTTATGGAAGCTGTTCATTGTTTTGTTGCTGAGACACAGTGTACCACAAATCATCATGTAAAAACTAGTGTTTGGTTGTAAACCATGCTAATTACCCATGTTGTTGATCTAGATCATTCTCTTCGGTCTCAGAGCAATGCAATTATTTCAATTTAATTCATTATTGACTTCACAAAATTACCTTGGGAGATATGATGGCATTTAGAGAAATTTATCTGAATGATTTGAATTCAGTAAGAATTTTCTGAAACCTGTTTTTGAACACGTCTCATTCAAATCAGTATATTTGTGACTGGGTATATACACAACTCTAAATAACATGCAGCTCATTTGCATATATCTGACTGAGTATATCAAAATCCCAAACATAGAATTCATTTACATATATCTTTGACTGTGTATTTATATACAATCCCAAATAACATGCAGCTCATTTGCATATATCTATGCCAGGGTATAAACAGAACCTCAAGCAACATGCATTTCATCTGCATATATATCCCTGTGTTTTACTATCATCCACTGTTTAGGTTAAAATAGTTCTCAAGCACAAGAAACTGCTGCCCCTAAGGTAAAATAATCTGAAAAATTTATAGAGTAATTTGAAATTTTAAGTAGCAATCCTTGCTATTTATTTTTCTAGAAAAGACAAGTTATCTTAAGTAACATTATATAGAAAGAGTACTCAAACCTTTTAAGTTGATTTTTGCTTTTTCAGAGTCTCTAGAGGACTTCTAGAAAATTACTTTGCCACTGTTTAATTGAAAATGGAGTGCTTCCATGAACAAAGTTCAGATGATCAGTGGATTGGCTAAGGGCTGGTTGTGAATTGACTACAGATCAGGCTGCAGAGACGCAGAAAAAGCTAGGGTAGGAAAACTCCAAATGTACATTTACACCTTGGGAATGCTATGAATCTTTCCGGCTGATGAGGTTTTCCAGCACAATAAACAGCTTTAATAATGTCATAAAATTCCCAGATACTCATAAAATGCAAATCTCCTTTTTGCAGTTTTTTCCCCCAGCATATTGTCATGAAGGCCTAAACTTAATATTTGTTAGGGTATTTTGTTTACTCCAGTTATGAATCCCTTACTCCTTTGACCCTAATGGCCATGGATCTCTGCCCTCGCCCCACCCCTACCCCCATTTTCTCCCCAACCAGACCTAAAACACCTAAGGTCTTGATTTTTCTGTCAGCCTCACTTTTCACTCCATTGGTACTGCTGCTCCAGTCTTATTTATAAAACAGAAACATCTCACCTTGAGAGATAGCAAAGTTTTTGCATTACAGGTCACCACATTGCCAGTCTCCCCTCCAGGGTGTTGAACTAATCTTGACAAAGAGATTGGGTCCAAAATGCTTCCTGGATCTCAAAATTAGCTTATAACCATGAAGATGTGTATGTTGAGTAGATGAGAAAAAGAATGTTTTGAGTAGATGAATGTTTTAATAAGTTTCATAAATTTGATCTAATTTTAATTGTGACAAATGAGTTCTGTAACTTCCAAAATTATGTAGCTTTTCATTTAAATTCATTTTTTCCCAGGTTTTGTGGACAGAACACACAAAAACCTTATTTTTTAATCTTTTAACTTAATTACACATTGACTTTAATACAGCTCCATTCTTTCACATGGTACTATAGAGTTGATGGTTTGGGGCCTGTTTCACTACTCTGCTTTACACTCCTGCTTCTGCCACAGCTTGTGACATCCTTAGAACACATCAAAACTCCAGAATTTAATTTGAAAAGAATAATTTATAAAAGTTGGCTTATTTAGTGTTGATCACTGAAAACATTGTTCCTCAAATTCATCAGTTAATGTTTTGTCTTGCTCATTCCCTGGATTTAGAGGTATTTAAATACAGAAATAAATGCACATCTTTCATATATTTAGAAAAGAATTTTTTTACCGTGTCTATAGAGTTAGTTACAAGCCCGATGTTCAGTAGTGATTTGTCACATTTACTAATAACTAACATTAACTCTATAGCACATGATAATGTACAAAATGCTTTCAAGTGTTTCACTCAATCCCCAAATCATCCTCTAATAAAAACAAGTTCTTATCTACCCTGTAGACATGGAAACACGTGTGTACAGGAATTAGGTAAATTGCCTATCATCATCCTAGGATGAAAGGCAAAGACTTTTCCTCAAGGGCCCTTCTTGGCCTGTCTGTCATGTGGGTCTGTCCTCATTTGTTAGTCACACAGTTTTTAGAAAATGAACCTATTACCCAGTCATGTTCCTTTTTCAGTAGAGTGCTCTTTTAGCTGGTTAGTGATGATCACAAGCTCTATAATCTTTCCAGGCTTATGGAACCACAATAGGTTCTGTGTTCCTTCAGGGTTTCTGGGGAGTCAGCAGCCTTGCTTGTTTGACTCAGTTTATTTGTCACTAGTGAGAGGAACCATAAAATCATTCAAGCACAGAAAGGAAAGAAGGCAGTATTTGTAATTTCACCAGGACAAGCAAGAAATAGACCCTGAGGTCACACTCTTTTGCTGGGGTTGGAGGTGGTGGGGATCTCAATACTGAGAGATACCGTCTACAGACACAGCAAGTTTGCATCATGGATAGAATTGACTTGCAGTCACTTTCAGGTAAATAGGAAATAGACGTTTTTTACTCAATGGCAGGTAAGTGTCATTATGGAGAAGTATTAATGCTAAGACAGTTTAGAAAGCTTATAAGTTTGTTATTTAAAAAAATTTTTTTTTGTTGGTTGTGGGGCTTGAACTCTGTACCTGGGAGCTGTTTCTCAGCTCTTCAGCTCAAGGCTGGTGCTCTACCACTTGAGCCACAGCACCACTTCTGGTTTTCTGAGTGTTTTATTGGAGATAAGAGTCTCATGGACTTTCCTGCTGGGGCTACCTGTGAACCATGACCCTCAGATCTCAGCCTCCTGAGTTGCTAGGGTTACAGGCGTGAACCACTAGCACCCAGCAGCTTATAGTTTTATTATGCTTCACAGTAAGATAATGAAAGGGCATTGGCTTTCAAAAGTCTGATTCCCAAGAGAAATTGGCCATGTAAAGTAATCACTGGCCTGTGAGATGAACTGGAGAAACCTTAGGATCTGTTTATCTTCTGATTAGTGTGTTGCAATACTATGCATGTGATTCTCACTCACCATGCCTGACTATGGCTTTATTATAAAATTTGCCTATGAAAACAGTGAAAGTCACTCAATCAGTAGCAGCTTTAAATTTACTTTTTCTCCCATGATTAATCTGGAACTTCTTTTCTTTTTCTTTTTTTGGTACTGGGGATCGAACCCAGGACGTTGCGCTTGCTAGGCAAGCGCTTTGCCACTGAGCTACATCCCAGCCCTAATCTGGAACTTCTACATTTCTCATTCCCTCATTATGCCAATGAGAAAACTGAGAAAAACAGAGTAGCAGTGAAGAACTTTATATATTATTTTAGAGTTTTATGTTTTTTGTTTAAAATCTTGCTCATGAAATTGATTTTACTAAGTAGTTTTAAATTTATTTTAGAAATAACATGTCAGAGTTCTAAAGCTGGTAAACATGAAAATATATAAGTAATCATTGCTATTTAATACTACAAAAATATAAATATAATATAAAATATAAATATAATAGCAACGGCTTTTGCATCTTTTTTTGAGGACGGTGCATATTGGACATATGTGTAAGTGATAGACATACTCTATCACTTGAGCCAGGTGAGTTTCTATAGTGCAGTGGTTACCACGTTCACCTTACACACTTGAGCCATACCTTAGCCTGCTTCTGAACCTGTTTCAACGATAGCTTTAGTTTTAATTAAATCAATTGGTTAATTTTGACATATTTTCTGATAGCTATGTGGACGGGTTTTGTTAGTATATGTATCTGAATTCTCATCAGTGCTTTTTAATATTGTGTAAATAGTACAGAAATTGCACAAGAATTGGCAAATTCTGTGGTATATAATACAACATGATATATTTAATTTTCAATTAAATAGAAATACATTGAGTTAAATTCTCAAATACACTTTTAATATTTTTAATATGGTTTTAAGTGAATGTAAGGGCAATACATAATAGAAAAATACTGGGGCTGGGAAGGTAGCTCAGTGGTAGAGCGCTTACCTTGCATGCATGAGGCCCTGGGTTTGATTCCTCAGCACCACATAAGCAGAAAAAAAAAAGCTGAAGTGGTGCTGTGGCTCAAGTGGTAGAGTCCTAGCCTTGAGCTGAAGAGCTGGGGGACAGTGCCCAGGCCCAGAGTTCAGGCCCCACGACCGGACCACAAAAGAAAAGAAAAAAAGGAAAATATTGATTTTTTTCTTTCTTTTTGTGTAGCCATAAAAACATAAGCTTTCTTGAACAATTCTTCTTTCTCAAGGCCAATGTAAAAGTTTAGCAAAGCTGACGCCTTCTATTTTGACACATGAAATTGAGAATGGAGTCAGAAAGCACTTTTCACAATGTACCAAACGTATCTCAAGAGTTTAAATGGCTACTATGACCTTGATCAAAATGAAGATACAGATACCTAGAATTAATTTAAATTAAATTAATTTGTTGTCCTAGATAATGTTTTTTTTTTATTTTCCAACTCTTTGGTGTCCTTTGATTTTGATTCTGAAAAAAAAAAGACCTTTTCAAATTTATCTTTATTCCTTGTTATTGTAGCTATGTGGAAAGTGTTGTCACATGTGTTTGGATTACTCTTCAGACTTAGTCATGACTTCAGCAGACACTTTTGCTGAGAAAAAGGCTTGTTTTGAAATAAAGATATTATTAAGGCTGAGTCAAAACCTTG